GCTTATTTTAAAATTAGAAAGCATACAATTTTTAAAGATGTAGCATAACTATAATCAGCACCAATTTTTTTCCTAACAGGAGTCTCTACATAAATTTTGGAGTATTAACACACGAAAAGACATCAGAGATGACAAAATGTCAGTTATGAGCAACAGATAATTATCCCACTGCTAATGTAATACACAAAACATCTGGTGTGAAGCCCACTGATATCAAAGATAAGATTTTAATGTTTGATGATTCTGTGCCCAATCCACATATAAGGGAAAGCACATATGCAAATACTCGGGTCAAGAGAGAGACATTAGAAGCTATAACCATATTTATTTAAAAAAGTGGTATCAAATACAACCATATATATTCATGCCTATTTGGAGAGCATTTTCAAAATACCAAACAGCACTGCCATTTTCCAGTCAAAACAATGACAAAGCATTTCAGCTTTCTGTTTTTTAATCTTTTCAGTATTATATGCTTTATATACACAAAATAGAGACAAAAATTGTATAGGAATCCAGAGCCAAAGACATGATACTGAAAGCAGAGTCTCAAGGCAAAAAAAAAAAATCTATTACTGAAAATTATTTCTAAAATACACAACTATTAGGCAAGAGATGAAAAAAATATTCCCTTACAAAATCCTAACTCTGTTTTGTACACATGGGGTTTCATGTAGCAAAAAATAAAGTTTTATCAATGCTTGCATGCTTTAAAGACAATATCAAGGTTTTTCTCCTTTTTTTTTTTCCGCACAGTGGCATTTAAATATTACATCCCTTTTGTTCAAAGCCTTTTTGTAAGTTTCCCCTCCTGAATTCACACAGCGGCTATACTGGGCAGGGGCAGGGAGAGGGGGCATGTTTTTAAAAAAAAAAAAAAAAATTTAAGTGTAGTAACAATTAGTTGCTTTTCTTAACAAAGAAAATAAAGTAAAATCATTTTGATTTGGTAAAAGCAGTTGAAAAGTCACATGTACTTTAACATTCTGAAGAACTGTAATTGGGAAAGGAGGTGACTATGGCAGGTTAAATACTAAACCATCCCTGCCGTGTCTGAAATTCAAATAAGGCAAAATGTGTGTATGCAGCTTAAAAAACTTTATTGCAAAACAGCTCAGGCTTTTAAGATGCAAACCTGGACACAACACAAAGAAGCTACTAATTTGAAACTAAAGAATTGAATATTTGGACAGGGCCAGTTTGAATGTATTAAGTGTTGTTCTTACTTGAACAACTGATTATGTGTATGTGGGGAATAGGTATATATGTATTACCTGTTACACTTTTTTTTTAATCATTTGTGAGTAACTATGAAGATTTTCCAGGAGTTAAGTTTGTTTTATACAAGACAGTAAGGACTTACCAAGTTAGCAACATAATTTTATATCTAAGCCCTTAAAAAAAGTTTCCACTTCAATTTTTCTTTTCCTTGGATTCTTTTTTTGATTCCTTTAAAAGTATGTGCTGGTAACATGAATTGTACAATAATACTTCTTTGTAAGTCTGAGTTCTAGAGTTCTCCAATCCCATTCCCTATAATATTTCTCAGTAAAAGGCCACCATTTGTACGTTTTCATCATTATTTGAAGCAATAACTAAATTCTAGAAAATTTCACAGACATTTTAGAACTGTAACATGTTCTTGTTCATTTTTAAAAGCCTAATTGTCAGTTTCATAATAAAACAAAGCAGCTTGCAAATGACAATATTTGTCTGAGATACAGAAATAGAATTGTTTAACAGACATCTGCAGAAGCCATTTTAAACTGCTTACCATTTTACAGATTTGTAATAGAAGCAATAGTCCAACATCAAAACACATTGGAGATTTAACTTTGTATTTGTTATTTTTAAGTAGTCTGCAAAGTAATTAAGTATGAAAAATAGTAAGAGTACCTTAGCTGAAAATTACATTTAAACTTGCTGAAGTCGTTTGAAGGGCACAAGGAGCCCAAATGTTGGAGAGTAAGCCAGTATTGTATCAGATTAGTTTCAAGCCCAGAAAAACGTGAGCATTTAAATAGCTCACATTTACACCTGCTGTGCCTAACTAGAATTGCATTCAAGCATGACTGCATTGCAACACTTTCTCCTCCTGCCCTTATTACAAGACCATGAAAGCAGTTTACAGAATTATACTCACAGAACTAATTTTGGAAGATATTTAATGTAAGTATCACTCATTCCCCCTACCTCTTTGATTTCTATAGGCAGAAAACCACAAATTACATCACATGGACCGTTCACTGTGAGGAAGACAGTAAAAATCTGTTGGATGAATGAAGTCTGAAATTCCCTCAAACATCATACTGTAATATTAAAAAAAAAAAAAAAAAATCAATTTCTGCTCCTTTACAATGGACTTTGGCCTAAAGCTACAACATGGGGAAAAAACCTTCAGCTTTACAGACTAGATAACACTAGCAATAGGCTGTAAATTAGTGAACACCTTATGAGCATAGTTCAGCCACACTGAGAACTGTTTATCACTGAAAGAATGCACAACAAAAAAATGAGATCGGCTTTTTATTAACAGCTTCTTGGCAGGTCCACACATTTTGAACTTTAGGTTTGGGTTATAAAATATGTACTGTCAACAATTAGTATTAGTCTTTTCCTTTGGTGCAATTAACATATGTAGTTTAAATTGCTACCTCTTAACTGCTTGACTAGGCCGATACACCTACTTCATTAAACTTGACATTCCTCTGATAATCAAATTGCTATTTGTAGAGTGACAATGTTTCTACACAGAAAGGAATATGATTAGCCCTGTAATGACTGACACAGTTGTGCTTTTCAGGCACTGTTACTTTATATTCCTTACATATGAAAACACTTACATGATGAAGTAACTTACAAAGTGACATGAAAGTTCAAAGGCAAACGTCCATGCTTTAGTGATTATAAAAACCATGTAATTGTCATGGGTTACAATTAATGCAATTCAAGGGGCTTCTATTTTTTTTTTTTAAATATAGGATTGCTACACTATGTAACTATAGAAATAATATATTTTTATTATATTCTTATAATAGAGGATAAAAGGTCCAAATTCCAAGTACTGCTATCAAATTGCCAGCCTACACCTATTTGTAAAAATGAGAGTCTTATTTCAGAATCAGTTTATGGCACAACAAAAGAAGGGAAATTAAAGCTGTGGATAATTTACAGACAAGCAAAGAAATAATTCAGTGCTTTAGAGATTCCTTTCCTGTTTTCAGTTTCATATAAATTTTAAACTGAAAGCAGAAATTTACATCCTGAAAAATATAGCATATGGCATATGCACACATGGACTTTTAAAGCCATTGTTTAGCTGTATTAATTTGAGACATTACAGATACTAATTATAATGTGCATGACAGGATTATTTAAAAAAGACAAAATTTAAAATCAGTTTTTAAAAAGTAGTGCTGTCACATGTCAGAATCCGTATTGTCTTACACATACCAGTGGTTCTGGTGACATTGGTGGAAATTCAGCACACAGGTAAAGAAAACAGAATTTAGCCCAAATATGTGTAATATAATAATATCCTAAGCTATCAAGAAACCACTGCTGTAAACAAATCTTTACTGAGAGGTAAGAGCCCTTTCACGTACAGTACTACTTGATGCTGAGTGTATATTTCCATCTAGCTACCATTCATTTCATACTAATTTTAATTAAATGTTACTATTGTGCAATGATTTCACTTCAGAATATTTTGATAAAGAAATTTGGGGTTATCTTCAAAAGATTCTTAGAATGCTGTGCTAACTGTTAATGCATTAAGTGGACTATAGCTTACATACCCTATCTACAACATATTTCCATATAATTTATATGTAAACAGAATTTGTATTTCAAGCACCATTTAGGAAAATGAAGCATACCTCAATTGTTGCACTGAAGTTGAAAGTCAGGTTTGGTCACCCTGTTACACATTCATTCTGGATATCAAAGCAAATGTCTTGCAACCAATAGCATAAGCTATCTCACATACTTTGCTCCCCAATTTTTCTCAGGATCAGAAACAGCATGATAAAAAATTGTAAGGTGCATGAATAAAGGCCATTCCTGAAAAAGCTGCAACGTTCTGACAGACACTCATAAAAAGCATTTCAGAAAGAACATCCACACAGACATAAATATTCATTCTTGAAAGAGATACTTGCACAGGGGTCATTTCAGACTGCAAGGCACTGACTTTATGGCACTAAATCCCCTCCTCCTTTCTCCTAGACTCAGTTACAGATCTTTCATACTGAAAGGCCAGAATGAAACGTTCAGCTTGAAAAAGAAAAAAGACTCCAGAAGAGGTAGAAAAGAAAAACTGTTTAACCTAACTGATTATATGCTACTCTTATAGTAAAGACAGTGGCGTAACTAGAAAGAGCATAAGAAAAACAAATAATAAAAAAAACAAACCAAAGAAGGCAAGTTATCTGCCAAAACACAACAGGGCAATGCAAAAATCCTACTTTAAACATGGATCTGAAAATTTTAGTTGGAACAAAGTAAAACCAGAAAGTGTTAGGTCAGAAGTCACTGAAAAATTCAGGAGTAACATCATAATCAACAATACACTGAAGATTTTCTCTTGAATTGCAAAGCATGAATTTATGGATTCATGTTTCTCCTGCAGAATGGGTCATTTCAAAAGTGGACAGCAGGATCGAAAAGTTGACATTAAGTCATTCAGAACAAACAATCACAAAATAAATTATTTAAGATAAACAGAATTTAATTCTTTTTCGCATTTTAAGTGATTTCTTATAAAGAACTTAGTCATTTATGAGCACAACTTACTACTTGTATCTATTTTTCTATTAGTACCGAAGGAAATCAGTTGATGCTGGGTTTTGGCACCTTTTGTACTTTCTATAGAATTATTCAAAACAATTTAAACTTGCTTTTTAAATGCAAGTTACAGCTGCTACACATGTCTAACTTTGTTCATGTGAGTAGTTTAAGTAATTTTAATACAGCTACTCTTGTGAACAGATGTTCTGCAGTAGGAGTGCTACAGTTTTCTAAATTAGTGCAATTTTTTTTGTATTTGCAGATTCTCTCTAAACTCTGACCTCCAGCCCCCTTTCATTAAGAACTCTGAAATGAACCCTGCTTGTGCAACATCCACACAGTAAAATTATAATGGAGACTTAGTGTTTTGACAATGAGAGGGGAAAAAAAAAAGTTATGTCATTTCTCCTCTTCTGTATTCAAGTGGTTTCTAACAGATTCCAGAGACATATTCATGGCTGCTTGAAGCATGTCTTCTTCACTCATATCACCTCCTAAAGAAAATAAATGCATATAAGTTATATAAGTGTTAAACGCACAGAGGTGGTTCTCAACTGTAGTTAAATGCTTTCATTATTCCTTTTGTCCACACCCACCTGTTTTCACCCCACCTCCAAAACTGGTTTTGTTTTTGTTTCAAGTCATTGAACATTTTGCACTTCGCTTTCCATCCACAATGGTCAGTTTGTAACAAGTAATACACATTAATTTGGGATCACCAATACCTAATACTGGTAAGGCCTACATACTTATGTTCTACTGAAAACATTTCAGTAATTTTATCAGATACTACTCCGAGTTTATTACACTGTCATACTAAAAGTGATTTAGAAAAATTGTTGGCACAAATCCCAAAGATTACAATTCGTAATGCTCAAGCCAAAGAAAACAACAAAAAGCAAAGCCAGAACTCAGATGGTCTAATAGTAACACTCTTCACTTTGAAACAGGATATTGACAATCAAAGCAGAACAGGCTTTTCAAGAAAGCAATCCTTTCTTTCACTGCCAAAAAGAGTAATGACTGTGATACATAGTCTGAATGCTGCTGGAATGAGGAAGTAGGCAGACAAGGAAAGTTAGGAAATAGAGCACAACAGAAAGGTGAAAAAGACATAAATATTTCCATGTTGGAAATAAGTTTAAAAAACAATACCTGGGTCAGCTTCCAGAGTGCTTGAGCTCAGAGTTGGCTTATCATGTAGGTTCGGAGTCCGATCTTGTAGCTGTTGTTGCTGCCTGGAAGCGTTATAAATTTATAAGAGACTAAGATTAACATCAGGATGAGACCTGTATCAAGACTGAATATTGTAAGGAAGGCCAAGAGAAGTAGAAGCTGTTTGGTACAGTAATACCCCTGCACCTAAAATCTCTTCAGTCCTTGCTAACCTTCAATCTGCTAACCTTCAGACACCTATCTTCCCAACATTATATTCCAAGCCACATTACTATTGGCCCAGAATTCAGATGTTCCACATTCTTATCCTCTCATGCAAAGTCTAACTCCTCCCATCCATAGCACTTCTCTAGGAGACAGAGATATGGAAAAGCTACAACAATACCCCAACTACATATTAAGAAGGTACTCCAGAACAGCAACATAAAATATCACCTAGAATGCTTTCATGTGATGCACATTAGACACATCATTACCAGAAGCAAAGTCTTAGAGAAAGAATACTTTTCTTCAGGAAGGTAATTACAGAAATTTACAGGATTTCATTTAAAATACTTCTATAACATGTATGTTTTCTTTCTTCACAAGACTGATGTTGCATTACTAACAGATCCCCTCTTATTTACAGGTTTCTTTTCTTCGTAGGAACCACCTGGGAATAGCAAAATTCAGGTACTGTTAGGAAAACATGTTAAAAGAGAAAAGTTAAGCTGGACCTCAGTCAGAAACCCATCCACGCCCCAAAAGCACTCAAAAATATGACATGTACTTCCACATGCAATTTTCTATCAACTACTTTACTTTTCAAAATATGCTTGTCTTCTCTTTCGCAGTTCTTCTGAAGAAAGGGACTCTGTCTGACTGGTGTGAGGCAGCTGAGGAACATTCTGTGGTAATGAGTCTGACAACTCACTTCGACGACTACCTAAAACCAGAACATGCCATATCCTACTAATTACAGTAAAATGAAGTTAGTAAATGAAATATAGCTTAAGAAAATGTCTTCAAACTTGAGAGGAAGAGACAGACTTGTTGGAGAAATACGCACCTAGGCTAACTTCACTTGATATTATCTCTCCTCCTCACCTCAGGACCGTTTCCCTTCCCTCCTGCCACCCTTTGCCAATTTGTTCTTGCTTCCTAACAATCAATGCTAACATGAAAGTTACAACTTTTCAAAAAAGCACAAAGGAGATAGGAGATAGCTACAGGAAATTCTGGATTGTCCTTCCATGCCTCAAAGCCAGTCTTTTCAGAGAGCTTGATGCATGCTGGAAAAAGTGGCTGACTGAAACTGATTTCAGTAGCTGCCTAAAGCATAAGCAACAGGAACACTGTAAGAGAAATGTAGATGAGCACTGCACCTTGCATGCTGAGTTGAATGGCTCTGCGAAGATCAGCTTCTTCATCTTCCATATCAATTTCCTGCCTACTTAGAGCCAGGGCTCTCTGAAAATTCTCTTCATCTTCATCTAACATGCCTGTTCCATCAAAAGGATGGTTAACTTCTATTGCTTGGTCCACATCACTTCTCGGTAGCCTGTGAAATTGACACATTTATGGCAGAATTCAGACAGAAATTACATTAACTTTTACTGCAAGATTTAAAGTAAATATTTTCAGCTGATTTAACTCTACTTTTTTTTAACTTTGGAAAAAACCTTTCCATTGTGAAAATCTGTTATATAAACAAATAATTTTCATTTCTACATGAAAAAGCACAAAGGGGCTGCAAGCTCTGCAGTGTAAATTTTTCTGCTTGAAAATACTGCAACTCTAAACCCATGCACATGTTGACAAGAATGTGTTCGATAGGAAAAACTTCAAAAACAATAAGCCTACAAAAAGCAGTAATACATGTTATTCGAACCTATTGCTATTTAAACACTTACACCAGCAGAAAAACATGCATGTGGTCTCCTTCTTAGGAAGCTTTGATGACCACACCAGAGCAACAGATCCTCTGTAAACTATACACACTTTCCATGTTACTGCCAAGTAGTTTGTTTTCATTACATCAATTTACAGCACTAGTTTACCTTTACAAAGTGGAAGAAATAATAATGAACTAATTCCTCTGAAAAGCCTTAAGCCTTTTTAACAGTATGCAATTTATTCACTATGAAAATGTGATATAATTATTGCATATAAGTACTTTATATTAGCAGCATGCATCACAACATTTACAGTGAAATTATTCCAAAAGGGAATGCTGTATGATTTATATGATGTGGAATTCAGATATGGGTTTCTCGTTCTTTTCTACTTACGACAGAATGCACAAGCCAGTCTTAATTATAGATTGATTACTATTAACCATAGTTTGATAAGATTTGCTAACCCATTTTACTATAATTGGAAAAATACCGTAATTACGAAGTTAAAAATCTGCACTATACAATGCATACACATGGGAAAATTGAATCCTTATTAAGGTAGTTTTTGCCCACTTAGAAGTACACCATTTGTATTCTACCAACTTGCTTTTAGTCTGTGCAACAGTAGTAAGTGTACTGCACTAAAGGTATTTCTAATCACTTCTTAAGGCAGTTGTCTCCATGTAGGCATTAATCATGGAAACCAATCATACTGAACATTATTAAAATGAAATCTCTATTTACCTTACCTCTGATCTCTTGACTGTGCTGTCTCTTCTCCAATTAGTTTTGGTCGCTGCATCTGCTGTACCCGAATCATCTGCAATAGCTGATCAGCCTCACAGTCTGGCAGGTCACCTTTTACTACAAATATTGAATAACCTGAGAAAAATAAATCATAAGTCTACAGCATTAAGGTGCATGCATAAACACTCTAAATGGAACACAATGATGGGCAATTTATTACAATATAAGGCTCTACCTTTCATTATAAGGACTTTGGTTATTTCACTATTTCAATCATAAAACTAAGGGTAGTTAACTGAATACATAAGTTCTAATAAATAATGATTATGACCTACTTTTAATTAATGAGATTTAACATCTGCAAGTTACTATTACCTTCCTGTTGTAATTGAGCCAAGAAAAGTGCAAGATATGTATCTGATATTAGTTCTGGACCCATCAAGAGAGAGTTCAAGTTAAACCACTGTAATTAAGAAAAAAAAGGTTTGAGAGAACAAATTAGCATAAAGATTACTCGGTAATCCATTTCTGTACATTGTGGACATTTTCTATGATGGAATATCCGAATAAATCTAGTAAAATAAATTATCAAATTAAAAGTCTTTTGAAGCACAATACCTATACTGCTAAAAGTTACCCTTCAAACACTCTTCAGCTAACAGGAGAAGTAGGGAAGTTACTGCATGCTCTCTCCCATTACTGAACATTGGTACCAGGCAAACAGATTAAAACAGATAAATCAAAATATAATGGTAGAATAATTATTTCAGACATCATTCTAAAATTCTGCTTAATCCTAGTTTTAAATCTGTTCAGAGACTAATGAAGGAAGAAATCCTTCATAAGTTAATGTTGTATCTTAAGAAATTAATAGATACAGGAAACAGAAGTTGAATTATTTCCATGAAATACTTTCATTAAACATTCTGCCCTTAATAGCTGCTGCAAACTATTGTTTACTTCTCTCTCAGATAATTTTTAAATTTAGAAATTAAGAAAAATGAACTCAAATTTAATATATTGATAGTACAGCATAATATTACAATAGGGGACACTTGAGATAAATATACACAGATAATTTCTAGTTCTCCGAAGATGACAGCTATTCATTTATAATACTTCTTTTCTAGAGAGAAAATATATTCAATATGGATGACAAAATAGTCTACCTTTAAAACCCTACATATATTCCAATCAATCTGAAGAACCTTTTTTATAGCATACTTGTTCAATATTATCCAATTTTAACCAGGAAGCACCATTTCAGATAGCAGAAGGAGAATTCCCTCTCCAGTCTCTCAAAAATGCATTTATCTACCCAAACTTCCATATATGCAGTCATACACTTGCAGTCAGGCCCATACTATAAATCACCTGGAATATAGGTAAAGTGACTATCTATCATTCTTCATTCAGTCACTTAATTTGTCAAAAACACCCTTTGCCACTAGGAAAGGGTAAAAAGACTAACAGTGTAGGAGTGGGGAATAAAAAGTTATGTAAACAAATAGGATGGACAGATTACAGACAAACTTTTAAAATGGAGTATGGAGGAGGAAGGTTTGGTAAACTAATTTTGCTTTAACTGTAACAGACGAGAAGCAGGTCAAATCTAAGTCAACCTATTTTGTCCATCTTTTCTCATTACTCTCTAGATAACAGACACCTAGTATTGTCTTCATGTGGTTCCAAGCTATACGTACAAGCAAAAGACATCCCCCCCTCCAACTTAAAACATTTTGGGCTACAATGCTATCTCACAAAATTCCACCCAACATGGTTGCATATGTAATAAGGAATATTCCCATACTTTTAAGAGACCATTCAGCCTTTTTTATATCAAATATACAAAAATTGCCTGTAAACATTAGACATACTTTTAAACTAAAGCAGAACAGCAGAGTTTCGTTTGTTTACTCACAGGTGAATTTTTTTTTTTTTTTTAATCTGGATGACAACATAGGTAGCCACCATTCGCAAAATTAACCAAATGGGTAAAGGGATTCCTGTCCACTATTGTAGAATCTAAAACCTTATTTTCATGAACATTTTCTATGACCAAAAAAAAAATCTGGAAAAAACCAAACACTAAACCAGCTTATGTTGTACAAAAGCTTATGCAGTATGATCCAGAACAATGATTGGCTACTGAAATAAAACACTGCATTGGTGTTACAAGGGACATGGATGTGACTTGAGTTATTATATATGTGCCATATACTTGTATGACCACCCCTTTAATAACTATTTCCTGCTTATAATACAACTGTTTCACAAAGTTTTCTAAAATAGTGCAAAGTTGTGATTCTACTTTCCCGAACCTTATCCTGATGGACACTCTTAAATACTAGCAATCATAAACATTAATACATTTGAAATTTGAACTTTTTCTTATACCTACTGTCCATTTAAACGAGCAAAATTATGTTTACAATGTCAATAATTTAGTGCATTAAAATAAGTTTACATTCTAATCCTTGTCTAGGACTCCCTCCTTCCTTCTGTACAATTTTTCTGCTATTTTTCATGCAGAAAAAAGAAAGAAAAGAGCTTAAGACGTCACACAGACTCTACCAGAGCTGCAGCTCCTTAGAGGACAGGTTCACTGGGGAATTGATCCTAGGGTCCTTCCCCAGGCTAACATTCATAAAAAGCTGCGTGGCATTTCTGTGATATAACAAACATTTAGTCCTTTTTTTTTTTTTTTAATATGGGATACTATTATAGCAAACTGCAGCAAAAGCTTGCAAAAGGCCAACACATGGTCTACTCGCAACCACTTTTCCACCCCCATTCTCAAGTCAATTTTTAAATAAAAAAAGACAATGTCACCTGTTTTCCTAACTTTCGAACTGTAAACCAGTGTTCCTTATAATTACAAATAAATGATTTTTCATTTCTGTAAAAAGAAAAACAAAAGGTATAGATAAAATTAAATACTCTAATATTGGAGTGCATATTAATGTTTAAGTTCTTTGCTACCACTAATTTAAACTTATATACATAAAATTTCAGTAATACAACTGTTGATGTTACAGAGTACTCATACTGCTTTTATAACATTTAGGAAGTTGTCAACATTACCGAAATCTCCATACAGCTGTGATGCCACAGGTATATGGATGCCATGAGATATCATGAAGGCACAGAGGACAGATGCTCATATACACCCCAAAAGGAAAAAATTAAAGACAGAGGGGATAATAAAAACATCATAATGCAACAGAGCTTGAAATAGTAATTTTAAAGAAAGATTTAAATCCTAGATTAAGAGTATTGTTTTTCTGTAAAATGAAAGCAGGGTGCTAAGAAAAAAATATCTTACATAGGGTCGATCCCAAGCCTCTGATACTCTGGGCTGTTGAAGAGGATTAGCTCTAAACCCCAAACTTTCAAGGCATTGCTTATAACCTGTCAAAAAATAGCGCTTTCCATGAGTCAAACCAGTCAAATCTAAATTTAAGCAATGCAGCCATCTTAGCTGCTATAAACAATTATACTGTTTTCATAAAACTTAGATTTCAAAACATTGCTAGGAAACCTAGGAATCACATTATTCAAAACACAAGTGTCATGAATCTACATACAACCATAATAAGCATACTATACGTAAGGGGAAGTAACGAAACTAGGATTTAACTGAAATCTGTTAATAAGCTTACTCCCTCAGACAAAGCTGTAGCTTCACCTCCCACAGATACTTCATAAGTTGTCATCTCTCTGCTCTCATTGTACTGCTCTGCCCTCCCTCCCCAATACAATGTCATCCTTCCCCACAGTAACTATATTTTGCACCACTGGACTGTCACAGGATCAGTCAGGTACGTTAGCACAAACTCTTTTACAGTAACTCTTTAAAGCTATCTGAAATAATGCTGTAAGAAATTTTAAATTAACAATTCATCTTCCTTTCAGTGAGCCAACTATGTAGCAAGTGAGCAAAGCAATGCCAGGACAAAAAAAAATAGAATATGAGGAAGCATTTTTTTTCAGCTTCAATATTGAAGCAGCACAACCAAGAATACAAGAAATGCCAAACTGTTAACGGTTTTTCACTGAATAGAAAAACAGCCCTGTGCTGCCATAAGGAAGAGAGGCTCTGGAGAGGTTCTGGAACATTGACAAGCACCTCTGAAAGCTCAGGAGACAGCCAAAGGTGCAAAGCATTGCCTACAGCTCTAGTCTAGACACAAGCCCCAATTCAGTGTTCAATACCTTATTTTGTTGTTGTTCTGGTTTAAGTACTTCTTATTAATTACTTTTCCATTATGGTCCTAAAAAAACCCCAAAAAACCCAAAAAACAAAAAAAAACCCACCCCAGCTCTAAAGTGTCTGGAGTGTGTTATGAAAACTGGCATGCAGATATTGCAGTTTTTTCCATTCTGCAGATCACTGTGATAACCCTGTAACTATTGCCAAGGGGTCTACAGTCTGTAATTTCAGAAAACAATCTCAAGTCTGCTTTTTCACCTGTAGTCTACAAGAGCCAAGTGCCCATAAGAAGCAACTTAGAAATCAAGCATATTGCCATAGCAGGTGTCATGTCACAGTTCAGGAGTCCATGCTTCTACTATGTGTTTAAAGGCCCATGAACTGAAGAACTGCAAGTCACTGCTCTTAATGTAAAACACTCCGAAGATTTAGAAGTCCAGCACTTAATCCCATTAAGCCTATAAACTGGAAACTAGATGAAAAAGCTCAATGCCATTTAAATTATGTGAGAGAACATGTATTGCATAAATAAAAAATTCTGTCAGTATAGAGCCACACTTACTTGAATTGAGAAGAATCCACTATCATCCATATTTACAGAAGGCTGCTGCTCAGTGTTAGGTTGGGAGGGAAAAAAGGGAAAAATGATGTAAGCATAAAATGTCAGAAATAATTCAGTTTTGAAAGCAAATATAACTGCACATACTTAAAGCAACAACTAAATATGTCCTAGTCTGTAAGGCTGATTACAATGCCCAAATAAGCTTATTAATTGAAAACTCAAACCTTTAAATCAGAAACGCTCCGTGCTTATAGGACAGCATGGGAAATTCTGTTCCTATCTCTGCCACTGGCTTACAAAAACAAAAGGCAAATTGCTGAACCTCCTCCTCGCCATGCCTGACCTTCCTATCTAAGATGATGTAGCTTTTTGTAGAATTACTGTAAAGCTCTACTAGCAGCATTTGAAAATGCCAAATTTAAGATGCATGAATGAAAAGGCCTATAAATTTAAGAAGTTTTAGCACTAGGAAATTAACGTTCTCTAGCTATGCAAGAATAGCAGGTCTGTGCTACACAATATTTGATTCCAGGCGAATATCAAGCAACTTCAAATTAAGAAGATTTTACCTGTAAAAACGTTCTATATTCTTCACTAGACACTCCTCCCTCTGCCATTCTCATTCTTTCTTCCTCATCCAACTGCTGTGCAATAGAGGATAACTCAACTGGACTAAAATATTCCCCTTGTAGCAAATTATTCAGACAGTGCTGAGCACACAATGAGCCTTCTTGCTAACATCGGAAGGAAAAAAAAATACCAAAGACAACAAAAAAATCATGTTAATGTTTTACTCTGTAAAATGACTCAATCATTTCATTCTGGCAAACTTCCTGCCCTCCCCACTCGCCCAGAATGCCATATAGTCTTTGGATGTATTACACTTCAAGCTATAGAATACAACCCTTCCATCAATTTGATGGGGAAAAAACCAACATGCATATTACTTTATTCCCTCAGAGGAAATAAATTTCATTCAAAAATGTTATTTTTGAAAACACTGTAAAAATCACGAATAGCCTGACCAAATCACACAAGGACTCATCAACCATCAGGACAATGGATTCTGTCCTCTTCCAAATCACCAACACATGAAAATGAAAAGGTTTAGATCTCTACTTCCCAGTAACAAATGTTTTCTGCAACAGATGCTCTCGTTCTTTTTAAACTTTCCTCCCCTGCCAGGTATGGCTATTGGCAATCTGTTCTCCACATGTGGCTAAAGAAAAGCAGACCATTAGGACTTTGGAGAGATTTAAAAGTATACATCTACAGAATTTATCTCCTTCATTTCAGGTTACTCACCCAGCTCAGGTTATAACCAATTTGTTTATTGCCGGGAAAGTGATTAGGAGCTGGAGGAGCTGTAGAGCTCATTTTCCACATGAAGTTTATGTATAGGAACTAGGTAAAAGAAGCTAATACTACTGGTTCTAAAATCTTGATGATGATGATGAGGTGACAAGAAAAAGAATTAAATTCAGAATATTAAACAATAAAAATATTTTTTGTTGATAAACCACTTAAATGGAAAACACTTCAGATACTTTGTTACATATTCAGTACATTGGAGATAATAGAAATGTAATATAACATTTTTAGACTGTCAACCCAAATTAAAAATGAGTAAACTAGAAGTGTCAGTTATGATTTTGTAGCACAAATTAAAAGAAATCTAAGCTGAATGAATGCATGTCAGGGTCCATCATTTTCATAACTGCAAATAAAATACTGCCTTGTTAAACAAACAAACAAACCAACCGAATTAGTTTCCCATGAAAAGCAATCTTTCTTCACAAATAACTAAACTACAAGTGCAAGACAAGATTAACATCAGTTTTAAAATCCTGCTTTTCTCTTGTGTTTTAATCAGTCCTCATTTTTATTTACATTAAGAACTCTAATATGCATGCACTCTAAAAACAAAACTAAAACTCCTCCCTCAACAAAAACCGAGAACACCCCTCCCTCCTGCCAAACCTACAGAAACTAAGAATACAAGAGCATGCCTTGAAGAAATATTCTTTAAACTTCCATGAAAGCCTCACACAAATCATATGCACAAATCTCCCATGATCTCCCTTACAGCAGGAACCTCGAAAATTCCCTTTACCCCAGATTAGAGTCTTCCATGGGCTTCATCACTCAATTGAGCAAGGAGTTATTAAAGCTACCCCTACAGCCAGGGTCCAACAGAATCCAGAAACCTCCTCCAGCTCATATCCTTCCCACAACAAGAAACTCAAGACTAAACAGCAGCTCCTGTCCCTTTGGGACCACATCCCTGCTGCTGGTCATCCAATAAAACTATGACAGAAGAACCTGCTCAAGAATCAGAGGTTTCTCCACCAGAATTATATGAAACTGATTTAGAAACAGAGAGATATTAAAATACCTTTGCAAATGAGTTGTATTACAGGCTTAAATCTTAATTTCACTAAAAGGACCTTTCTGTATTTGTACAGTTTTATCTTAAAGTAATAAACATTAACTTTCATATGCACAATTTGTACCTATTAAGTGCAAAATGCAGAAGAGAAAACTGATCTTACAGTTTTTAATGAACATCAACTTCAATTTTTTTTGTGTAGAGAATACTGCCTCTTTCCATAATCTGAAATCCCCTTGTTGAAACCTATCCTGATAGAAACTGCTGCCCTGCTTTCAGTGTTTTCAACCACTTTTATCTTATCAAAAGAAGGGCCAACTTCTAAGATAGGGGCTCCTTAAGCCCTATCCTTAAGTCCTACTTCCTGCAATTGTCATTCCCCTGTTAAAAATGCCAGATTGCTCAGATCTTTGGCAATTTCCTTTATAAATACCGTGTTTTTCGTGCCTTCTTATTGGAACATCTGAGGTATGCAGATTCAAGTGGGGGGTGTGCACATACATGCAGCACTCTAAATATTTTGACAGGAACTGAGATAGTGCACCTGATGGCGGGGGGAAACACCCCTTAAAAGAAAAAAAACAGAGGTTCAATTAAATTTTCCCTAGAATAATAATGGTAACAAGATAAAAATATTTGGTGCTCCAATTTAAAACAGGCATTCAGGTGTAACTTTGTAACTGTGTAACTAACTTAACCAGAGAGCAGTTATGTTTCACATGTGAGACACCCAAGACTGTTACCCCTCCCAAACCTGTAGCAACTACAAATTACAATCATCTTATAACTTTGAATGTATTTTGCTCTGTCACTTCAGTTTCAGCAGAGTTTTGTTATTAAATCACAAAGCAACTCAATCATAAAAAAAGTTATCATTTCATTACGTGATAGGCTAGGTTACATAACAGAAAGGTACACTTGTTTTGAACTAGATGGGAGCTCAAAGTCACTGTAGCAGAGGCCATAATGGCTGAAATCCAACACTCATCCTCTGAACAGCAGCTGTTTAACACCACAATGCTTGCCAAGTTTTGCTACCTAAACCTAGTTTGAAAGAACACTCCTCAGGTTCTACGGATTTCAGAACAGTAATTTTTTTTTTTTTTTCTAAAGAAAAAAATACAGCTATCTTGCTTTATTTGCTAAGTAAACCAACCATCATCCATAAAAAGTGTATAAAAACTAGCATTAATCTTAACACAATAAAGGTGCAGAGACATTGGCAAAGTACATGAGAAAAGACAATTCTATTTGAATAGCATTAAAGCATAAATAGGTCATATTTGGGAACCTGGCTAAATCACAGTAGTTCATAGAAGCATTTGTCCTCCAAAACAGGAAACACTATTCGGCACACAGAAGCACAGTACATTAATTCGGATTTCCTTAACAGCTCTCCCTTCCCCTGCTCATTACACAACTCCAACCAAGCCAGGCTAGGTGAAGAGATGTGTCTAAGAGCACAGAAACAGCTCTGCCTGCCGCAGCTCATCTTCACGCTCATTTCTCAGCCACGCGAGTTCTCCCTCGAGAAACAGAAGCAGCTGTAGCCTGCACCTTCCCATACTCGAGGTCTATTTCTGAAGGCCCAAGAAGAGCAGTCACCGTGCGAGAGGAAACGCTGAGGCTCAGCCCTGACCCTCTTTGATCTCCGGTAACACCACTTCCTCTCCCCGCAGAGCCGGCAGGCCTCGCAGAGCCGA